GGCTCAGAATCTCTTTCTGAGTCTTTCTGAAATTCAATTGACTCGGAAATAATATTCTAAATTTTATGCGTTTGTGATGATGTTTGTAACACCCAAAAATATTGGTCCCACCTACCAATCCGCTCAGAATCACTTTCTGGATCGATTAAGCTAAGTTCGTCTGTGTTGATGAAATTTGGCACATACTCTTTTCGACCCAAGAACGAACGATTCAATATCGTTGGTTAATGGTTGAAATCGGTCCATTATTTCGCATAGCCTCCATACAATCGTAACCCCCAGAATAGGGCTTTTAAGCTCATAAGTTCCAGTATGTCAACAAAAATTGACGATTTTTGATTAATTGATCGGGCCTCATTTGACCTTAGCCCCCATATAAAATCCCCTTCAGAAAATGACTTGAAGGTCAAAATTCACTTATAAACACTAATAACACGATGAAATCTCGATTCTGCATATGCACATACAGCCCTCCTCAAAATATTTAGGGGATCGGGTCATTTTTGACCCTAACTCCCATATAAAGCCTTTTTAAGAAAATTAGTTTTTCATCATGCTTAAATAATAAATAATTGTTAAAATATACCCAAGGTGTAGAATATCATATGGTCGGCCATGCTCGATTATGCTTTCCTACTTATTTTTAGTATAATATTAGTTTTAAAATATAAACCACCATTTACTCTTCGTTTTTTTTTTTTCATAGATATTAAAGCCTGCGAGTTAAAAATATATTTTAAAGGTCCTTTAATTGTTTTTATTATTTTCATTAGAAAACAGAACTGGATCCAAGTATGTTTAGGAATTATTATACAACGGTTTATTGTTTAAACACTTTCAATTTAACAAAGACTTAAACCATTTACACAGATATTATATAATTCAAATTTTTTTCTTTTTTAAATTTTCAGATAAATATTTTTATAAAAAAAATGTTGACGATTTCATTTTGTGAATATTTTTTTTAAATTTTATTTTAAATTATTATTTAATTATTGAGACACTTTAACGCCCTTGATTTGTTTTTAATTAGCACTTTCTTAGGTCATTATTATATTACATTGTTTAATTCTATTTTTTTTTTATTTTTTTGTATTCTATACAATTTTTATTTTTTTTTTATTTAAAAAGTAGTTTTTTTGCATTTTGTAACTTTATATAATGTATTTTTTTGATATCCTGCCGCTGAAAAAGAAAAGAAACACTTACTAAATCGCGCCTATTCGCAATGTATCTCTTCGACGTTTTGAGTTAAAACTAAATAGTTTAATGTTGCAATTAAGTATTTAAAAAATAAGAAGTAGGTCTTCTTAACAAAAAAGCAAAAAAATATAGTTTTTTTTCGCTGAATCTACGCTTTTACTACTTAATATTACAAGTCGTTCATTTACTTGAAGAGTGTCTTAAAACAAATACAATTCCTCATATAAAATAAGTATTAATGAACAATTTTGACATCTATGTGAACATTTGAGGACAAAATGGCCGGTCTAGCTATAGTGGGCGTGGCACCTCCCTTATTAAGAACATATTAAATCAGTATATTTAAGAAAATATAACAGTTAGAGTCCTAAAATGTTGTAGAAGGGACTTTAGTATCATTATGAATAATTAAAACAAAATGGGCGGACTAAACCTAAGGGGCGTTGCACCTTCCATATGAATTAAATACAAAAATTTTGATATCTGGATTAGACCATTAGATATAGAATCTTCAAATTTTGCACGGGAAACATTGACATACATATGAAAAATTTAGAGAAAACATAGCAGGTGTAGCAATAGGGGGCGTGGCACCCATACGAATTAAATACACAAATTCGTATATCAGGGTAACTATATAGGGTTTTTATATCTGGAAACTACGACATCTAAAGTCATCAAATTTTACATGGACTTTATTAACATTCACATGAAGATTGCGGTAAAACATGGGCGAACTAGCAATAGTGGACGTAGTACATTCCACGCCAATATCAATATGTGTATATTTGGAGGATCACAACAGATATAGTCCCCAAATTTTGTAAGAGTAATTTTAGTTGCAATATGATTATTTTGCAATAAAATAGGCGGTACTGAAAAGTGGGCGGGGTACCACTCATATGAAGTAAATAATAAAATCTGTATATCTGGGAAACTATAACAGCTATACACGCCTGGTACCAATTTGACACCAAAGAGTTTATAATTTTTAATAACATCCGTTGTCAAAGTATATACATACGTACAATTCTTTGTCGAAGTCTAAATTTTATAAACATACGTTGTCTAAATGTTAACAAACGTGGTAAGCTCACTATTGGCAACGGATTGTTTGTGAATAGTGAGCATTTGTTAACATTTAGACAACGGATGTGTATAAAATTTTGATTTCGACAACGAATTGTTGCAATGTTGTCAACATTATATAGGGTTGTCGTACTCATGTATATGCTTTGACAACGGATGTTATTGAAAAATTATAAACAGTTTGGTGTCGATTTGGTACCAGGCGTGTATATTTCTTTTTCCCTCTGTGTAGAGTGTTCAAATTATGTACGAATAACTTTAGAATAAATTTAAACATTTGGAAGAAAAATGGTTGCACCAGCAATAGTGGGAGTGTCAACTTCCATATGAATATAATTAAATTTCAAAAATTATTATTGTAATTATAAATTAAAACTTTTAAGTAAATTGTTTTTCGAATTATGATACTCTTTAAGTAAATGAAAAATATGCACTTTGATTTCATTGAGTTTACGTAATTTAATTTTCTTTGGCAAGTATCTAAAAAAAAATTAAATTGTTATTTGAACTCTTGATGCATCAGTGTCACGTTTTTTTGTTTTTTTAGGAAATATGTTTTATAAAACGCAACTGGGGGAAGTATGTATATAAAATATTACAATTTTAGACCTAACATTAAAGAATGAATCCCATCTTCCATATAGGTATATATTATGAAAAATTTCCAGAAAAAGAAAATGTATAATTTAGACCTTTGTACAAAAAATTTCCTTTTAAGTCTCAGAAAGGCTTAATATTATCCGATTTATGTACATCAATTGTGGTCAGTGTTGAAGTGCATGCTTTCCTAGAATTTCAAGAAATGTCTATTATATAACTCCTCTGTTCTCAAATTTAAAATTTATTCGCATCTGAAAATAATCAGAAAATATTTTTTTTTAATGGGACCATGATTCTCGATTGATCTAAAAACAGGGTTTCTTACAAAAATAAATGTGGCCTACTAATAACATGATGGCAAGGTCAACATTTATGGATACCCTAATGTGCGTTCATACCTTATTTCATTAACATTAAATTTCATAGGCCACTCTGATTTATATTTCATATTTCTGAAGGTTGATGAAGGTTGCAGCCTATATTCATATACATATAGTAAATATGTTTCTATAGAAATTTTCCTATGCAAAAGTTATAATTATATGAATGCAAATTTTTTTTTACCTTCAAATGTACTGTACTAGGAAGAACTGTAATACAAAAATCTAATAAAAAAAAAAAACTTTGCACTTGCACATAGTTCTGGCTATAGCCCCTACTGCAGAATTATCATTCAATGTTCAAAAACTCATATTACTCGACATAATTCTTTAGAATTTGTCAATAAGTGGATTTGAGAGATGAAATTACTGTTCCAACGTTTCACTAACATCACCGCTCGCACCATGTATGTCCACTTGGAATACGTATGATCATAATAATAATCTCGGACTTATCTTGTCTTGCTCTCGTTGGGCTCACCATTGCATTATTCCAAGAGGACGTATGAGACTTTTCGGTCTAGTCTGGAATATATTAAATATAATCCCGACTATAATTCAGAACATGATTGACTCATTAGACAAGCATATATAGTTCATTCTCTTGTCCAGACTATAGTTCAGGCTAAAGTTAAGACGTTAATAGGGACTAGAACCCAACCTATAGTACAGACTATAGTCCATACTGCAAACTTTAGTGCAAACTATAGTTTAAGCTATAGTCCAGAGCATAGTTTAGAATATAGCCCATAAAATAGTTAAAACTATAGTCCAGTTTAAAGTTCAGTCTATAATAATAACTACAATTCCGAACATAGTATGACAACGATTCGGCTATAACTTAGACTATAGTGCAGACTATAGTACAGACAATAGTTCAGACTATACTCCAGACATAGTTTAGATTATTATTCAGACAATAGTTTAGACTATAGAGAACTTTATTGTTTAGACTATAGTTCTAGTGCAATCCGCACTCCAGTTAAGAGTCCTAGACTTAAGACTAAGTTTAAACTATAGTCCACACTTTAGTTCAAAGTACATTTAAATGTATTTAGAATCAGGTGTCTTTGGTAGCCGCCTTTATATTAGACGCATTTTATGTTGCAGTTAGTCGGTAGCGTTCTATTCTGTTAGTCTGGAGGTCTTGAGACTCTGAAGAAGGTGCGCTCAACAGCCGCGATAGTGGCCTAGGTGTATATTTTCAGATTTAATGTAATTACTATGAATCCTCTTCTAAAACTAACTGAGTCATTTTATACTGAAATTTCTATTTAGCCCATTTTTTCTATTTTCCCGAGTCAGGTAACGGAATATAGTTTTTTTTGGGATATTTTTTTATATATAATCATACTGTATAAATTACTTAAGAATGTAGATCGTTAACTAAATAATAACTATTAGGTCAAAATACTTCTCGAGTCCTAATGAATAAAAATTACAGATTCCGCTACATCTATATAAATAAAAGAGTAATGTTTGTTCGTAATCGATAGGATAAAATTTCAAATATATGTTCCAGGGATCGTGAGAAGTATTCCTGTAAATTTTAAATTTGTCCGGCAGATGGCGCCAAGGTTTAAATTTTAGTCAATGACACCTAAACCGCTAAGCCGATTATTGCAAAATTTGATGGGTATATAGACCTTTACGTGTAGATTCCACATGGCTAACAATGAACCTGCAACGTGGACCGGTCATCACTAGTTTTAAATAAAACTCCCTTTATATATATTTTATATATTAATTTTTATCAAAAATAAATTTATTTAACTATATAAGCCGAAATTTTTTTTAAGACAATATATATATATGTATAAATATTTTTACATTAATTTTTACTACCCAAATATTTGTGTGAACTTTTACATAAACTTTTCCCTATTAAGGAAATGATTCTTGGGCATATCTTTCTCCTCCTTGCGGGCGAATTCATTAATACAATCCACTATGGGGCGACCAGTTTCGACAGCTTCCGTCAAGCCATTGCGCACTGCAGTCGAACTAATTGTACGCAAATCTTTGGCTAAATCCAAAGCAGCAAACACTCGTATCATGGCGGTAATACAACCTGTGGCGTAATTACCATATTCACCACTTTGATAATCGTTGGGCAGCATATAGTGATATTGGGGCCAATAGCTTTTGGTAATAAAGAAAACACTATTCGAATCGGAGGGTTTAAAGCTTTTATCCAAACCCCAAACTAAATGAGCGGAATTAACCAGCCAGCAGAGATTGAGAACAATCATGTAACGCAATGAAAAGGCCACAACAATAGAGGCGGCCAATGAGTCACCCCAGTATTCGAGTGGCGAATTGATGGGTATTAAAACATGAATAACAAAATACAAAAGCCAATAGAATCTGTTTAAAAGAAAGGGAAATAGTAGTAAAAAATGTTCTGGTGCGCGGATGAGAGTCTTACCTTTTTTGAAACATTACCACACCATCTTTTTCCAAATCACTCATATCGATTTTTTCCAATAAGGCCTCCTGTTCGGGATGGTAGTTTAAAACTTGAGCATAAACATGTGCCGACATAAAGTCACGATTACTGAAGAAAGGATCTTCTGGCTTACGGAATTTTTCATGATGCAAACGATGAGCTCTTACCCAGTTGTAAATGGAACCCTATATGATAACAAATAAATTGAATGGATTAAATTAATAACTAGTAGGAATTCCTGATATTTGAACCAATTTTATAAACGTACTTGGACTAAAATTATTGACTAAATACTAGTCCCTAAATTGTTTCAAAAAAGAGGTATTGATCTCTTAAGGAATTTATTTTTTTTTTAATTTTGCTTCAAAATATAAATCATTATACATAAATCGAAACTGAGATATGTAAATTTTTAATTATGATTCCAATTGAAAAATATTAGGGGACCTAAAGTGCGGCTAAGATCCACACAAGAACTTAACGAAAAAAAGCTTTACTGATATTAAATTACACAAAAAAACTTACAAACTAAAGCTTTCATTCGAAAACTATTCAATGGTTTTGTACCCAACTATATGATCAATATAATAATATAGGATTTTGTCTTTGCTTAATAAAATAAAAACTGTGTTGTAAAATGTTAAAATTTTAAATAAAAAAACTCTCACAACTTACCTGACCCGCTAAAGTTTGACACAACATAAGGAAAATTTTCAATGTGGTGGAAGCGGTATAAGTGCCATGAGCCCATAATCTATGTGATCCAGCTGTAGCTCCCAAAATACCCAATACTGACAAAATGATAGCTGTAAAAGAAAAGCTCAATTATAAACTTATTTCTTAAATTTAAAATCTATGACTCACTGAAAATAATCGTCAACCATGAGGCACTGGTGAACATTACAAATATACCATAGAGTCCAAGTATGTGTAAATGTATGTAAAATAATACCGATGGCCAACTGGCTTCACGTTTCAAAGATTTTTTCACATTATCGCCAGTCGTTTCAGATTTGTTTGCTTCCACAGCATTGGATTTCTGTTGCATTGTGTCCATTTTGTTCGGATTGTATTTGTGCGACTAAAGTATTAAGTATTCTGAAAAAATAAATTTAATTTTCTTGCTTTAAATTCAAGGTGTATTGGTTGACCTGTATTGCCCTAGAATTCATTAATTTTTGTTTGTATAAATTGTTAATTATTCTTGCATTTAGGTCTTCTTTAATTAGTTAGTTTATGCATTAATTAATTATTTTACATAGTATGTACTGCATATAATTCTTTTTACTATATTTTTGGAATTTCGTTAACTGTATCTACCCTGATTTTTATAAAAACCGAGAAATGGGGTTATACTTTAGAAAATGTCTAAAAGATCGGTGAATACATTATGTTCTTCAATAGGGACGTATCAATGTTGAAATGCAAATTTATAGCAGTTTTGTAATGATTTTTCTGATCATGGACTGTTTTTGATGATAGCTCCGATAATAGAGAATTTATTGGCGTAGATTTATTTGCAAGTTGGGAAAAAGATAAAAACGCTTTTATCTGTGGAAGATAATGATCCGATTAGAATCATAATGTTGATTTATTGACATTGTTTTGCAAAATTCAGAGAAACTTGGAAAGAGGTTCACTTGCAAGTGGTCTTATATATTCAGATACCGAGAAGGAAGACTTTCAACATGCGTACTTACAACACATAAATCATATTCGGAAATTATTAGAGCTAGAATCTTCAAATATTGCACAAAGAAATTTAACATCCATGTAAACATTTGGGGGTTAAATAGGCGGACTTACTTAAGGGAGCTTGGAACTTCCAATATATTGTTTATGAATATTATTCATTTTTTGACTTAGAGGCCCGTTCTCTGAAAGTCTCGTTCAATAAATACAGGATAGAAATATCTAAGGTTGAGATAACATGAGAAGCTTTAATATTGGCAAAATAAATTGAATGAAGAACGAAGTAGAAACTTCTCAAGACTACCTTAAAGAAAAGGTGAAATTAGGGTCTCAGAATACCGTTAAACAGCAAATATTTAAAAGTTCAATTTAACCATATATTTTCGGAGATTTTAGTGTCGACCTTGTAGGTACTTATTTAGCCACATGACATTTACTGCCGACATTAACTGTAAAGTTAATGAAATAAATAAGATTTCTAGAAACAAGCTTTGGAATTGTTGCAACACATTCAAAACCATACTTGGTGGTCACCCACCGCCCATAGCAGACACGGAAGAAATCCTGCCGCGGAAAACAAGAGTAGTTCTGGCACAACTACGATCGGTATGGAGCAACAGGCTCAATGCCTACTGGTCACCTATAGACCGTGCCGTCCCCAAGGAATGTCCTGCATGTGGTCAGGGTCCCCATGACACCCACCACATATTCATCTGCCCGGCCAAACCCTACTTCACTCCGTCCAATGGATTTATGGACCCATACAGTTGAAGTAGCCCAATTTTTAGGCCTGGACATTGATGTAGAATACGCCAACTAGATTATTGTATCGTTTTAGCTGTTACAACAACAACAACTACTATGGCTTCTCTAAACAAGGAGTATCGCCACATTTGTGTTATAACGAGGACAAAAATCAACACATCCAAAACCATTATATACTATGTATTTAACATAGACTTACTGAACCGATATTACAATACATAAGAACTACTCTCAACAAGGCCATCGAAAAGGGCTGTCTCGATAGCACCGGGGTTTATAATCCGATATTTGGACTTTGGAATTAAAACACATTCTTCCTATGAAGCGGAAAATATAAAATCACATTTTCAGATATGATTAAGATGTCATTTGCGATGTATGACTTTAATTATTTTTTGTTGGGATCAATCGGTCTTCTTGGCACGATAAGTTACAGGTGAGACTAACGGTAATTTTTGTGGGAAACATATGCTTTTATAAATATCTAATGTTTTTGGATAGACAGACGTCATTTAAGACCTTCTTTTTTCGATTGTCGTTATGAATCTGAAATTTTCAGGGTGTATTACACTATGCAACAAAAATAAATACATTCCGAGTATTAGAAAAATCTGTTTTTAAATACGGTTAAATACTGTTCCTTTAAGCACTTATAAGTCAGTAACTTAGTTTAATCTCAACCGATTTTAAGTGACTTTGTCCATTTTCCAACTTTGGAGATGTTTTTAAACAGTACTTTATATAGGAAGCATATATCTTATTAATGTATTAGAAAACTATGTCCGTTTATCTTATATGTATATCATTATAAAGGCCTCAGCTTGTACTTTCTCAATCCGTCGAAAAACATTAAATAAGTTTTTAACTTTATCACAAAATTTTGGAAATATTTAGCAAATTTCAACAGATTCTGGTTGTACTCGACAATATCTGTCAGACAAATAGGGTCACTTGCCAGGTATTTCCATTTTAGTTTATTTTGTCTCACTATGTTATCGCTTTAGAAAACTAATGAGCACATTTACTGGACTTGGGTTTTTATATAGTACCAGCTCATTTTAGGTAATGCTCGTAAGATTATATGTAAATTCAGATATAAACCATCAAATAAAGTCACATGTACCGCACCAATCTTATCTTTACCAGATTCATATTTTTATCCAAATTATTATTATTAGAATAAATCAAATGATCATGTTTTTCTTCAAATTGTAAATTAATTAAAACACACACATTGAAGTATAATATTATATACCTTCTATATATATTTGTTTTTTACAAGCCAGGATCTTAATTAAAAAAACTTATAACACTCTAACACTGTTAGCCGTTGCACCAAAATGATCCAAGCAAACAGCACACGTCCACGTTTAGTTAAGAACTAAAGTTTAAATTTCAAATTCTAAAACGAACTTAAAGAAATCACAAATCACAAATGAAATAATTAAATTCCAAAAATCGTATAGCACCTGAATAACACCTGAAGAAATGTAAAATAAAATAATAATAAAACAAAGCTCAATATTTAAATAATTTTCTTTCTAGTATATAATTTAATAAGTTTCATTTGCAAAGAGGTACAAAAACATTTATATTGGATTAAATACCTAAAATATACAATACTTTTTATTTCGTTATTTGGATTCTTTTTAATTTATTTTTAATTTTTTTTTTTTGCTGTTGGATTTCTGTTTTTTCAATACACAGGGCTTTTAATGTTAAATTTAGGAATGTTAATTATTTGTTTTTTTTTACTCAACTTTATAAACACACACTTACGAAATCTATAAAACTTAACAACAATTTAAATTAAATAATCACTAGTTCATTAAATACAATAAGTAGAACAGAAATTAAGATTTCATTTTCTGTAGCTCTTGTAAATCTTCTTGTGGCAAGTCCTTGTCGCCATAGCCCCAGACTTGATCTTTGTGGGCATAGTCATCGCTAAGGAAACGAGTACCATCACCACATTTTAAGGCACGTCTTTTGATCATATCGGGAGAGACAAATTTACCTAGAGGTCGAAAAAAATTAATAAAATTAGAATTTTGTAAATATAATAAATAAAATAATTAGCTTTCGTCTATAGTCTAGTCTATAGTCTAGTCTATAGTCTAGTCTATAGTCTAGTCTATAGTCTAGTCTATAGTCTAGTCTATAGTCTAGTCTATAGTCTAGTCTATAGTCTAGTCTATAGTCTAGTCTATAGTCTAGTCTATAGTCTAGTCTATAGTCTAGTCTATAGTCTAGTCTATAGTCTAGTCTATAGTCTAGTCTATAGTCTAGTCTATAGTCTAGTCTATAGTCTAGTCTATAGTCTAGTCTATGTCTAGTCTATAGTCTAGTCTATAGTCTAGTCTATAGTCTAGTCTATAGTCTAGTCTATAGTCTAGTCTATAGTCTAGTCTATAGTCTAGTCTATAGGTCTAGTCTATAGTCTAGTCTATAGTCTAGTCTATAGTCTAGTCTATAGTCTAGTCTATAGTCTAGTCTATAGTCTAGTCTATAGTCTAGTCTATAGTCTAGTCTATAGTCTAGTCTATAGTCTAGTCTATAGTCTAGTCTATAGTCTAGTCTATAGTCTAGTCTATAGTCTAGTCTATAGTCTAGTCTATAGTCTAGTCTTAGTCAGTCTATGTCTAGTCTATAGTCTAGTCTATAGTCTAGTCTATAGTCTAGTCTATAGTCTAGTCTATAGTCTAGTCCTATAGTCTAGTCTATAGATCTAGTCTATATAGTCTAGTCTATAGTCTAGTCTATAGTCTAGTCTATAGTCTAGTCTATAGTCTAGTCTATAGTCTAGTCTATAGTCTAGTCTATAGTCTAGTCTATAGTCTAGTCTATAGTCTAGTCTATAGTCTAGTCTATAGTCTAGTCTATAGGTCTAGTCTATAGTCTAGTCTATAGTCTAGTCTATAGTCTAGTCTATAGTCTAGTCTATAGTCTAGTCATAGTCTAGTCTATAGTCTAGTCTATAGTCTAGTCTATAGTCTAGTCTATGAGTCTAGTCTTAGTCTAGTCTATAGTCTAGTCTATAGTCTAGTCTATAGTCTAGTCTATAGTCTAGTCTTAGTCTAGTCTATAGTCGAGTCTATAGTCTAGTCTATAGTCTAGGTCTATAGTCTAGTCTATAGTCTAGTCTATAGTCTAGTCTATAGTCTAGTCTATAGTCTAGTCTAGTCTATAGTCTAGTCTATAGTCTAGTCTATAGTCTAGTCTATAGTCTAGTCTATAGTCTAGTCTATAGTCTAGTCTATAGTCTAGTCTATAGTCTAGTCTATAGTCTAGTCTATAGTCTAGTCTATAGTCTAGTCTATAGTCTAGTCTATAGTCTAGTCTATAGTCTAGTCTATAGTCTAGTCTATAGTCTAGTCTATAGTCTAGTCTATAGTCTAGTCTATAGTCTAGTCTATAGTCTAGTCTATAGTCTAGTCTATAGTCTAGTCTATAGTCTAGTCTATAGTCTAGTCTATAGTCTAGTCTATAGTCTAGTCTATAGTCTAGTCTATAGTCTAGTCTATAGTCTAGTCTATAGTCTAGTCTATAGTCTAGTCTATAGTCTAGTCTATAGTCTAGTCTATAGTCTAGTCTATAGTCTAGTCTATAGTCTAGTCTATAGTCTAGTCTAGTATAGTCTATAGTCTAGTCTATAGTCTAGTCTATAGTCTAGTCTATAGTCTAGTCTATAGTCTAGTCTATAGTCTAGTCTATAGTCTAGTCTATAGTCTAGTCTATAGTCTAGTCTATAGTCTAGTCTATAGTCTAGTCTATAGTCTAGTCTATAGTCTAGTCTATAGTCTAGTCTATAGTCTAGTCTATAGTCTAGTCTATAGTCTAGTCTATAGTCTAGTCTATAGTCTAGTCTATAGTCTAGTCTATAGTCTAGTCTATAGTCTAGTCTATAGTCTAGTCTATAGTCTAGTCTATAGTCTAGTCTATAGTCTAGTCTATAGTCTAGTCTATAGTCTAGTCTATAGTCTAGTCTATAGTCTAGTCTATAGTCTAGTCTATAGTCTAGTCTATAGTCTAGTCTATAGTCTAGTCTATAGTCTAGTCTATAGTCTAGTCTATAGTCTAGTCTATAGTCTAGTCTATAGTCTAGTCTATAGTCTAGTCTATAGTCTAGTCTATAGTCTAGTCTATAGTCTAGTCTATAGTCTAGTCTATAGTCTAGTCTATAGTCTAGTCTATAGTCTAGTCTATAGTCTAGTCTATAGTCTAGTCTATAGTCTAGTCTATAGTCTAGTCTATAGTCTAGTCTATAGTCTAGTCTATAGTCTAGTCTATAGTCTAGTCTATAGTCTAGTCTATAGTCTAGTCTATAGTCTAGTCTATAGTCTAGTCTATAGTCTAGTCTATAGTCTACTATATCTAGTCTATAGTCTAGTCTATAGTCCAGTCTATAGTCCAGTCTATAGTCTAGTCTATAGTCTAGTCTATAGTCTAGTCTATAGTCTAGTCTATAGTCTAGTCTATAGTCTAGTCTATAGTCTAGTCTATAGTCTAGTCTATAGTCTAGTCTATAGTCTAGTCTATAGTCTAGTCTATAGTCTAGTCTATAGTCTAGTCTATAGTCTAGTCTATAGTCTAGTCTATAGTCTAGTCTATAGTCTAGTCTATAGTCTAGTCTATAGTCTAGTCTATAGTCTAGTCTATAGTCTAGTCTATAGTCTAGTCTATAGTCTATATAGTCTAGTCTATAGTCTAGTCTATAGTCTAGTCTATAGTCTAGTCTATAGTCTAGTCTATAGTCTAGTCTATAGTCTAGTCTATAGTCTAGTCTATAGTCTAGTTTATAGTCTAGTCTATAGTCTAGTCTATATTCTAGTCTATAGTCTAGCCTACAGTCTAGTCTATAGTCTAGTCTATAGTCTAGCCTACAGTCTAGTCTATAGTCTAGTCTATAGTCTAGTCTACAGTCTAGTCTACAGTCTAGTCTATAGTCTAGTCTAGTCTATAGTCCAGTCTACAGTCTAGTCTATAGTCTAGTCTATAGTCTAGTCTATAGTCTAGTCAACAGTCTAATCTATAGTCTAGTCTATAATCTACTCTATAGTCTAGTCTAGTATCTAGTCTATAGTCTAGTCTATAGTCTAGTCTATAGTCTAGTCTATAGTCTAGTCTATAGTCTAGTCTATAGTCTAGTCTATAGTCTAGTCTATAGTCTAGTCTATAGTCTAGTCTATAGTCTAGTCTATAGTCTAGTCTATAGTCTAGTCTATAGTCTAGTCTATAGTCTAGTCTATAGTCTAGTCTATAGTCTAGTCTATAGTCTAGTCTAGTCTATAGTCTAGTCTATAGTCTAGTCTATAGTCTAGTCTATAGTCTAGTCTATAGTCTAGTCTATAGTCTAGTCTATAGTCTAGTCTATAGTCTAGTCTATAGTCTAGTCTATAGTCTAGTCTATAGTCTAGTCTATAGTCTATATATAGTCTAGTCTATAGTCTAGTCTATAGTCTAGTCTGTAGTCTAGTCTATAGTCTAGTATCTATAGTCTAGTCTATAGTCTAGTCTATAGTCTAGTCTATAGTCTAGTATACAGTCTAGTCTATAGGCTATTCTATAGTCTAGTTTATAGTCTAGTCTATAGTCTAGTCTATGGTCTGGTCTATAGTCTAGTATATATTCTAGTCTATGGTGTGGTCTATAGTGTAGTCTATGGTATGTTCTATAATCAAATAAGAACTAGATTAATGTATTTCTAGATTTAACTCATTGCAAATACAATATATAATTAGAATTAATTGTAACCAATTCCATCCAAAAGAAATAATACTTACGTCCTGTGGCCAAACCTAAACGAGCACATAAATCAATAAAACCGGTAGTAACATTCAATTTATAGTTGCCAAATTCACCAGTTTTATAATCCCAGGGGAATACATGGTGATAGTTGTGCCAACCTTCACCCAAAGCCAAAAACGAAACAATGGGGCTTTCAACTGGGCTAATGTTCCTAGAATTAAAAAAAAATTATTACACATTCAGATTACCGCAAACTAAATCAAATCTTCTTACTTGTCATATGGCTTCTTGCCCCACATATGAGCTACACTATTCACAAAGAAGGCCACGTTCAAAGTGGACGTAAATCTCATATTGAAATTAATCCAGAAGGAACTCCACAAACATTCATTCCAGAAATACCAGGGCACCAAAACAGGTAGAGCAATTGAACAAACGGCAAATAAGGGTATAAACCATTTACGTTGGAACATCACCACACCATCATTTTCCAAATCGGACATATCTATAACTTTACGTTTTTCCTCCACCTTGGGGTGGGCGGTCAGGAAAAGCCAACCAACGTGAGCAAAAAAGAAACCTCTCTTGGCATTGTGAGGATCGGCTTCAGTCTCCGAAAATTTGTGATGAATTCTGTGATCTAAAGCCCAAGTATAGGCATCACGCTGTAAGAGTTTAAAAAAGTTAAGGATTTATTTGAATGGTAGATGGCTGTTAAAAAATCTTACCTGTCCCGCAATGGTGAATAAAAATATTAATAAGATACGTAGAGGTAATGAAGCGTTATAGGATTTGTGTGACCACAGACGATGTGCTCCGGCTGTGATGCCAATACCCGAACCCCATATGGTAAAGACAACTGGAAATAAAAAGAAAAGTACATTTGAATTTCTGACATAATTAACCCTATTTATCTTAATATTACCCTAATTCAAGAAGTTTTAGATATATCTAGAGGGGCAAATATCTTTTATAGTAGAACGTGGGTACAACATAATATACAAAATTGGCCACGATTAGCTGTTGCGATATCTATATGTTCCATTTATACGTTCTATAGATATCGCAACAAAAACAAATAATTTTAAAAGCCTATAACAGATCAAAGCAATTTGGTAGATCCCGTTCTGAAATTAAGCATATTGCAATGAGAACATTGATCAGCATTGATCAAAACAAATAGTATACGGATGGTAGGATTTAAACAATGAGCCTAGTATGGTTTTTATATCTACTTATTCTAATATTCCTGGAAATTTTCGGTCAATACTACCATCTAGCAACTTTACTGTAATAAATACATCTCACTCTTCTGGGAGTTCCATTCCCCTAGAGGTGTATAGAAGGGTTATGTACAATCTGTCCTCTCCCAGCTATAGTTTTACCTCAAGTGGGGATGGCACATAGTCTTGAGAATCTGACATTCTCCCGAACCAAAATATATACAGTAGTTTTCCCCTAAACCAAAAAACAATCCATTAAGAGAATAAATATTGAAGTTATAGTGCAGGGCCAAAGTAACCCAGTACCAGCAACAAGAGTTGATCTATTCGCCAGTCATGTGTTGTGATTATGCTGCGATCATGAGCAAATGACTAGCATGGATGTCAAGGTGCAAGGTGTTCCCCTTTGGTATGCAGAGTTATTGCCCTTGGGAAAAAAATAGAGGAAAAAGATTAGGAGCTCTAAAAAATCTCAGTCTATAAATGCAGGTGAGGTTTTTGACTTTGATAATAATGGCACCATCGAGCCAAATTACAAAGAGGATGCTGTAAAACAAATGGCGAAGGAAGTGAGTGATAGCATTGCTAAGCTATCGGCAAACAAATAACGACTATCTGGGGCACAGTGGAGTAAATTGAAGATGATATTCCAGAAAATCATATTGAGTCAATCGGAGTCTCTTACAATATCTGAAGAAATATAAGCCAAGCCATACCTCACCTAAAGAAGACTTAAACCAGCGAGTATGGAAGAACGACATTGGTTTTTACGTTCGGGACGATCTCAGCTATGCAGAATACGATACCGGTAATCCGACAGTTAAAATCCCAATAGATCAGCTCAATAAGGTAAAAAATAATCAGCATGGGTGTGATGATCATGAGAATGACATCTCGGCAATGAATTTGTATCCTGAAGAACTTAGTGAGAAAAATAATATCCTCCCTGGGACATCAGGTTGGTCAAGAAGAGCGATCTTCACTTGTCCTCAAAGGCTATTGTCTACATAAAACGATGCGGTAGTATATTCTCGGGTCAGATCATATGATACTCTAGTTATGAATAGTGTGAAGGGTATTATGCGTTTGTGCTGATGTTTGTAACGCACTAAAAAATTAGTACTATACCCACCTTTAAGTATACCGATCGACTCAGAATCACTTTCTTACATGTTTTTTGTTGAAAAACTGACTTTCCTAAAGTGGCTTTAAATCGGGTTAAATATGGACCGTTCCACATAAAATTATATAAAAATTATTTATATTGAAGAGGATCAAATGAGGACCGATCATTGCGAAAACCGGCAGTTTTATCAACGCTTGTGCATAAGTATATTACTTAGTTCTACCGATTTTTTTAGTATATTTGACATAATTATGATCTAAAAAGCCCAATCCTAAGGTCGGTTATATGGGGAAATAATGAACCATTTTCAGTTGGCGTTTCTGCCAAATTTTATCAAATTGTAATATGTTTTCTCTAATTCTTCAGAATATGCTAAAAAAGAAAAAAAAATATCTTTTAACAGAATCGAAATTTATTCTCTCACATAAACTGAAACAATAAAATTGTTAATTGTTTCGGTTAAAGTTCACATTTATTTTAAAACACACATAAATACACATTTTGCATATTATTTTTTTATTAAATTAAAAAAACATCAGTAAAATTTTGTGGGTCTTAGATCACTCTCAACTATTACAACATTGAAAATGTGTGTTGTTGTGTCATCGTTTAATTATAGTACAGCAACAACGAGACGTAATAACTTAAAGGTGGGCTGTATAATAGGTATAAATGTTTGCATGAAAGTAAGGTTAAGTTGAATACGTACATATTTTTAAGGTTAAGTAGAAATTTTAAAGGTTTTTTTTATGAAATATATGTACGTAACTACAAAATAAAAACTTTGTAATACGAAAAGGGCTTTTGGAAAACGAACTGCTCCACTAAAGGTCTGATGCAAACCTCTTTTATAAGTTGGTCTGTGAACAATGTGTCACCAAAAGGTATTCACACAAACAGTTCTACGGTATTGTTATCTCGATTCTAGATTCATTCAATTATGTGAATTAGGGAATCAAACAATGGGCCTCCAAGTGTACACGAGCGACGCATGACGAAAAATACATAAATCATTTTTCCCCAGTGTATTTTCCAGACATAATATTTATCGAATAACACAAACTTTACACATACATACATATGTACATAATTATCTAGTTAATTGTCAATATCTTTTGGTATGTCAAAATTCGCATTAATTTTATCTTTCGAATAAGTGTAAACAATATTTATCTACAAAGTCATATATTTTTTAATATTTTCTGAAATATTAGTATAAAACACATTTTTGTTATCTATTTTTGCGAAAAAAAAAACTTTTTTATTATTTCTAATTATATACGAATAAGTATGTTGTACTACAATAAAAGTGGCTATAAAAACGTTTCATTATGATTTTTTATACCCTACACCACTTTAGTGGGGAGGGTATATTGGATTTGTGCTGATGTTTGTAACATACAAAAATATTCGTCCTAGACCCACCTTAAAGTATACCAATCGGCTTAGAATCGTTTTCTGAGTCGATTAAGCTATGTCCGTCCGTCCGTCCGTCTGGCAGGCTGGCTGGCTGGCTGTCCATGTAAACCTTGTGCGCAAGGTACAGGTCGCAATTTTCAAGATAATTGGATGAAATTTGGCACGCACGTTTTATTTGACCCAAGGACGAAGCCTATTGAAAATGGTTGAAATCGGTCCATTATTTCACCTAGCCCCCATAGAACAGAACCCCCCGAAAAGGGCTTTTGAGCTCATAATTTTGTTAAATTTACAGATATATCGATAAAATGCGGCACAACTAAGTTTTATAGAAGTCTGGATGACCCTGCCAAATTTCATAAAGATCGGGCCCCATTTGACCCTAGCTCCCATACAAAGTCCCCTTCAGAAAATTACATGAATGTCCCAAATTAACTTATAAACACAAATATCGCGATGAAATTTAGCACAATAAAATATTATGTAAATATAAATATATTCACAAAATTTTATCGGGCTTGGTCCATATTTGCCCCTAGCCCCCATATAAAGCCTCTTTCAGAAAATTAGATTTTCATCCATAAATTGCTTAAATGTATCGGAACAAGGGAATATTGAAGATAAATGCTTTATTATGAAAAATAAATCACATTTAATATTCATAACTGGTGTAGGGTATCATATGGTCGGCCACGCCCGACTATACTTTCTTACTTGTTTTTTCTTAAAGTTTTGTAAATTATTTTAGTACATACACTAAAAACGTTAGTGTTGTCTGTCTGTAGCATTAAAGTGTTAATTGATATTGTCCACACTTTTGGGTGTTAAAGTGTTAAAGAGTTGGCAACATTGTTCTACGATCAATGTTCAGTTGAAATATTCGAGCGGACAAACAAATTTCTAAATAAATGAAATAAATATATAACAAAAATAAATATATAGAATAAAGAAAACTATAAAATAGAATATTTATTAATGGATTTTAATTTAATGGTTTCCAATTAAGGAGTCTTGTTTACGTATAAATTTATCACATGTACACAATATACATATGAATTTAGATTGAATGTATGCTTGGATGGATGGATGGATGAAAAACATACATACAATTAATGATACATTAGATGTTCACGTGCTCGTGTATGTGTGTAAAATTGTTAAGATCAACGTTTTTCAAATGGGGATCCATAGCAACATTTAAGGAATTCCGAAACAATAACAAGAATTAAGAATAGTTATTGCAAACACGGAGAAAAACTAACTACATATAGACTAGACTAAAGACTAGACTATAGACGATACTATAGACTAGACTATAGACTAGACTATAGACTAGACAATAGACTAGACTATAGACTAGACTATAGACTAGACTATAGACTAGACAATAGACTAGACTATAGACTAGAATATAGACTAGACAATAGCCTAGACTATAGACTAGACTATAGACTAGACTATAGACTAGACTATAGACTAGACTATAGACTAGACTATAGACTAGACTATAGACTAGACTATAGACTAGACTATAGACTAGACTATAGACTAGACTATAGACTAGACTATAGACTAGACTATAGACTAGACTATAGACTAGACTATAGACTAGACTATAGACTAGACTATAGCCTAGACTATAGACTAGACCAGGGGTCGGCAAACTTTTGAGTCGGAAGAGCCAAAAATTACAGTTTACAAAACATATGTTTTAAAAGAGCCACAAAATTGTTGTTTATTAAAACTTTACAAATACTTTATGAATTCACTTCAAAAACATAAAGTTGGTTTAATTATCTACAGGACATTCTGCAAGGAATCTTTCTTAAAGATTTTTGACTACAAATACTTTTTGAATTTATATGGGTCATTCGAATGCATTTTTTAAACACTCGTTATATAAAAATATAGAAGTTTATTAGAGTAGGGCGACAGTGTTATCATTTAAGAGGCATTTGGAAACATATCAGGAAATGTAAAAATCACGAAAATTGATGACGCAGCTAATACAATATAAAGTAATATATTAATTTGGCGGCAATCGAGGCAATCATTTCAGAAAATGACTAACGATCATAATTGACTTAACAGTAGCAATATAAGAACAATATCTATCTTCCAAATTTGACTTTAACGTTCATAACTGTCTTAATAATAGCAATATTATGACAAAATTCAACACAAACAAAACATAATTGACCAATCCCCTTTTAAAAGGTCTACTTCGGAAAATAACTTTAATGTTCATAACTGATTTAATAATACATATTAGTATAGCGACGCAATTGGACACAAACAAGTATTATAGGAACGAAAATCTCTCTCCAAAATTTTGTAAGGATCAGTTCATTGTTGACCATACCCCCATATAAATTCTTCTTCAGGAAATGACTTCAACGCTCATAACATGCTTAATAATACCAGCATAGTGGTGAAATTCATCATAAACAAGTTTATAGGAACAAATGTATCTATACCAAATTTAATAAGGATGGATTCAGAATTGACCGTACCCAACCATATAGTGTCCACTTTCGAAAACAACGAAAAATACAAGTATAGTGATGAAAATCAACACAAACAAGTAGGATCCAAAATCTCATTACCAAATTTTGTAAGGATGTGTCGGTCCATAATACACTGTAAAACGTTTCTAAAACGCGCAATATTTAAATATTGAAGTTTTTAAATAGAACAAGTTTTTAGTATTTACCCAGCAAAAACTCGGTAATGGGTTGTACTTCCATAACCACTTACTATTCAATGACTACTACTTACCGTCTGCATTACATAGAAGTACTCTAGTAATAACTTTCTTATAATCTGATATAGAAGTACTTAATTTTCGGCATTGTCATTTTGTTTGCACATTTTATTTAATTGCAGTTTAAGAATTGTGTTTTACAAAAAATAAAACAAAATTAATCTTGATGTGAAAACCATTATTTGATGCGCACTAAAATACCTATGCAGTGTGTAGAACATTTGACTAAAAAATCGAAGTCCCTGGTTCGTATTCTAGCAGGCTCTTTTTATTATTTAAAAACAAACACGAAAATTTCGGAATGTATGATCATGTTTTACATTTTATCTAATGGCACTTCGTAGGAGCGCTCATGATACCCCATCGTTTATAGGGAACTTTTCAACTAAAAATTTAAAGAATTAAACATTTTCTTACAATACTAACTTGTACATGGAACAAATTCAATAGGAGAGATAGGTTTGTATAGCTTTAGAAAGTTTGGATCATAACTTGTTGTTTAAAGTTTCACAAACGACTCTCAACTTTCATTTGTTAGTTGTCTCACATGCACAAGGATTAAACAAAGTTGAAATATTGTGTATATTGTAGAAACGTATGCGAATTGTTTTGTTAGTTTTAACAAACACTGCTCGGTAATCTATTCAGAAAGATTTTTATATATGTATATATTTTTTTTATAAAATAAAAAAATTACGTATGAAACTAAAGAGCCGTAGCTCCACATCCAAAGAGCCGCATTTGGCTCGCGAGCCGTAGTTTCCCGCCCCTGGACTAGACTATAGACTAGACTATAGACTAGACAATAGACTAGACTATAGACTAGAATATAGACTAGACAATAGCCTAGACTATAGACTAGACTATAGACTAGACTATAGGCTAAACTATAGCCTAGACTATAGACTAGACTATAGACTAGACTATAGACTAGACTATAGACTAGACCATAGACTAGACTATAGACTAGACTATAGACTAGACTATAGACTAGACTATAGACTAGACAATAGACTAGACTATAGACTAGAATATAGACTAGAATATAGACTAGACAATAGCCTAGACTATAGACTAGAATATAGACTAGACTATAGACTAGACTATAGACTAGACTATAGACTAGACTATAGACTAGACTATAGACTAGACTATAGACTAGACTATAGACTAGGCTACAGACTAGACTATAGACTAGACTATAGACTAGACTATAGACTAGACTATAGACTAGACTATAGACTAGACTATAGACTAGACTATAGACTAGACTATAGACTAGACTATAGACTAGACTATAGACTAGACTATAGACTAGACTATAGACTAGACTATAGACTAGACTATAGACTAGACTATAGACTAGACTATAGACTAGAATATAGACTAGACTAGACAATAGACTAGACTAAACTAGACTAGGCTATAGACTAGACTATAGACTAGACTATAGACTAGACTATAGACTAGACTATAGACTAGACTATAGACTAGACTATAGACTAGACTATAGACTAGACTATAGACTAGACTATAGACTAGACTATAGACTAGACTATAGACTAGACTATAGACTAGACTATAGACTAGACTATAGACTAGACTATAGACTAGACTATAGACTAGACTATAGACTAGACTATAGACTAGACTATAGGCTAGACTATAGACTAGACTATAGACTAGACTATAGACTAGACTATAGACTAGACTATTAGACTATACTATAGACTAGACTATAGACTAGACTATAGACTAGACTATAGACTAGACTATAGACTAGACTATAGACTAGACTATAGACTACACTATAGACTACACTATAGACTACACTATAGACTAGACTATAGACTAGACTATAGACTAGACTATAGACTAGACTATAGACTAGACTATAGACTAGACTATAGACTAGACTATAGACTAGACTATAGACTAGACTATAGACTAGACTATAGACTAGGACTATAGACTAGACTATAGACTAGACTATAGACTAGACTATAGACTAGACTATAGACTAGACTATAGACTAGACTATAGACTAGACTATAGACTAGACTATAGACTAGACTATAGACTAGACTATAGACTAGACTATAGACTAGACTATAGACTAGACTATAGACAAGACTATAGACTAGACTATAGACAAGACTACAGACTAGACTATAGACTAGACTATAGACTAGACTATAGACTAGACTATAGACGAGACTATAGACTAGACTATAGACTAGACTATAGACTAGACTATAGACAAGACTACAGACTAGACTATAGACTAGACTATAGACTAGACTATAGACGAGACTATAGACGAGACTATAGACTAGACTATAGACTAGACTATAGACTAGACTATAGACTAGACTATAGACTAGGACTATAGACTAGACTATAGACTAGACTATAGACTAGACTATAGACTAGACTATAGACTAGACTATAGACAGACTATAGACTAGACTATAGACAAGACTATAGACTAGACTTATAGACTAGACTATAGACTAGACTATAGACTAGACTATAGACTAGACTATAGACTAGACTATAGACTAGACTATAGACTAGACTATAGACTAGACTATAGACTAGACTATAGACGAGACTATAGACGAGACTATAGACTAGACTATAGACTAGACTATAGACGAGACTATAGACGAGACTATAGACTAGACTATAGACTAGACTATAGACGAGACTATAGACTAGACTATAGACTAGACTATAGACTAGAATATAGACTAGACTAAAGACTAGACTATAGACTAGACTATAGACTAGACTATAGACTAGACTATAGACAAGACTATAGACTAGACTATAGACTAGACTATAGACTAGACTATAGACGAGGACTATAGACTAGACTATAGACGAGACTATAGACTAGACTATAGACGAGACTATAGACGAGACTATAGACTAGACTATAGACTAGACTATAGACTAGACTATAGACTAGACTATAGACTAGACTACAACTAGACTATAGACTAGACTATAGACCAGACTATAGACTAAACTATAGACTAGACTATAGACTAAACTATAGACTAGACTGTCGACTGGACTATAGACTAGACTATTTACTAGTCTATGGACTCGACTTTAGACAAGACTATAGACTAGGCTATAGACAACTGCTTAAGCTACAGTATCGGTTCTAAAGACTATTGGTATATATTGTTTTCTACTCACCCCATAAAAACGTATAAAACTTAGCGGAGAACAGCAGATAGAAACCATACAGACCACCGACATGTAAAATAATTGTGCTGCTAAATCTGGCCATCTTATTTTTGCTTTAAATTCCTTTTCAGGCTCTTCCACTTGCTTTTGCTGCTGTAGCACCTCTTTGGCGGCTGCTATTTCTTTGTACACAGCATTCTCTTCCTTATAACCTAAATTATCAACTAAATCTTTGGCTGTTGTATCATTTTGTGCATCAACTGTTGTTACTTTACGTTGTTTAATACTATTATTGTTGACTGTGGTTGTTTTAGTATTGCCATTGCAATCTAATTGTGTTTGTTGTTTTAGATTTGTACCACACGCAGAGACATCACCATTGGTGGTGGCATCATTATTGGCTGCGGTACATGGACTAGACGAACATGCTGTTGAGGTATTGTTACCATTTGCCGATGTCGTGGGTGTTGAAAGGCACATTGTGTATGTATGTGTGTTTTTGGGGGGGATGTTGATAGTATGGTGGTTTTGCAGAGAGGAATTACATTAACTGGAAATATAACAAGAGGAAAGAGATAGAGAAAGGTGAACATTTATTATGAATAAAGTGGTTTTTAATTTATTGAGTGAATTTTAATTATTTTTATTAAAAAAGGAATTGTTATTTATTTCATCAGTATATTAATTGTTTAAGATAATTTAATAGATTTAATGGACATCCTAAACTTATGAGTACGACACAAATATTATTCAACCCCTACTTTAGGGATCTATTAATTTATAGAAACATTTTTGATTCTACACTGCAATTCGACTGAAATATACAAGTTCCAGTGCACCGCAAAATGAAATCAAATCTATTTAAAATACAAACTATTAAGTCATTTTACTGGGTGCAATAGAACCCATATACAAGTATAAAAAAAACTAATTATAGATTTATAACTCCTTCATATTCTAAGTAAAATAAATGGCCAAAAAACTAATAAACTTAAAAAAACAAATGAACTGATAACAGAACACCTGCTTATCTATTAACAAAAAATATATTAAAAAAACTACGCGGAATGAAAACTAATGGAATCATAGACATAACCAACCCACTATCATAACGTTCCATTATGAAAAAAAAGTATATAATCTATTGGATTTTTATCTTTCAATGGAAAAGAAGCTAGACATGCACACTAACTAACATGACAAGCACTCTAATAAATCACAGACATGGGACAGTAAAATAATTATTTAATCGATTTTGGTAAAACCTACAAACAAAGTCCTAATTCATTTAGAATTATTATCCTTTTTTAGAATTATGGTTTGATGTTACTAGCAATTTGCAAAATGTTAAATTAAACAAAATAAAAAAAAACTCATTTATAATGAATATTTATTTTAGATTCACAGACAGTTAGTTACCTTCATATTTAGTTTTATGTTAATGTGTAATTAGTTTGACTGTGACCATTAGCTACAGCAAAAAAAAAGTATTCATTCATTTAGATATTTATTCACGTGTAGTTTTGTTGTTGTTATTATTATTATTATATTATTGTTGTTTATTTACAATTCTGTCTGTTAATGACTAATAACGGTGTTTATTTTTTAATATTATAATGACTTATTTATTTCACTATATATTCTCCAGATACTTTACCCTACAGATACGAATAGTCATGTACATATAAATATAAACGCCCTGGTAACTAAATGTTCATTTTTGAAATGTTATTTAATACTTAAATAGTACGATAGATAATTTTTTAGAAATTCTAAGAAAATTTGTATATATAGGGAGGTATATGTATATAAATTTCTTTATTTTATTACAGCTTATTTTGACACTTATAGTCATAGTAATCACTGCATTATCGAACGATTTGTTTCTTTACACACTGAGGCTTAAACCAATGATTCATCATATTCAGCCCGATTCAGGAAGATAATAAAGAGCCTAAAATCGAAAATATTTTGTCACTTGTAATACATTTAGCAGCATTTTCACAATGTCATACAAAAATTGTCTTAAGTGGAAAAATAACTACCAGTTAAACGATAACTGGAGGTGATGAAAATGGGGGTTAAAGAAACAAACATAATTTTAAAGTCGGCTCACTAGTGTATTTATTAATTACTCTATTGGCCAGTCTATTAACAAATCTAAGGATCAGTCTATTAATTAATCTATATTATCTATATTAACCTATTAACTAGTCCATTGACTAGTCTATGGGCAAATCTATTGACCAGACTTTGGATTGATTAACCTATTAAGATATATGTACTAGTCTACTGACAAATCTATCAAATCCTATGATATAGTCTATCGACTAGTTTATGACTAATATGTTGTCTAGTCTGTGGACAAATCTATTGACCAGTATATGGACTAATCTATTAACAAATCTAAGGACTAGTCTATTGATTAGGCTATGGTATAGCCTATGGACTAATCTATTTATTAGCCTATGCACTAATCTATTCACCAGTCTATGGACAAATTTATTATTGACTATTCTACTGACTAATTCAAAAGTCTATTGACTAGTCCTATGCAAAGGTCTATTAACAACTTTATGCGCTAATCTATGGGCTAGCTATGGACTAAGCGAAAGACGAGGCGTGGGGCGAAGGGACCGACGAGGCAAGGACAGAGGCTCGGGACAGAGCGAGGAAAAAAGCGAGGCGCGCAGCGAGGACGAAGAGACGGGGGGACGAGCCGAGAGACCAAGCGAGGACGAGGCAGGGGAAAAGGGGAGGGACAACGCCAGGGAGCAAGCGAAGAACGAAGCGAGGACGAAGCGAGGGACACGGGACGGAGGAGCCAAGGCACGGGGGGAGGAGAGCGAGCGAGCGAGCGAGCGAGCGAGCGAGCGAGCGAGCGAGCGAGCGAGCGAGCGAGAGCGAGCGAGCGAGCGAGCGAGCGAGCGAGCGAGCGAGCAGCGAGCGAGCGAGCGAGCGAGAGAGCGAGCAGCGAGCGAGCGAGCGAGCGAGCGAGCGAGCGAGAGAGCGAGCGAGCGAGCAGCGAGCGAGCGAGCGAGCGAGCGAGCGAGAGAGCGAGCGAGCGAGCGAGCGAGCGAGCGAGCGAGCGAGAGCGAGCGAGAGCGAGCGAGCGAGCGAGAGCGAGCGAGCGAGCGAGAGCGAGGAGCGAGCGAGCGAGCGAGCGAGCGAGCGAGCGAGAGAGAGCGAGCGAGCGAGCGAGCGAGCGAGCGCGAGAGCGAGCGAGCGAGCGAGCGAGCGAGCGAGCGAGCGAGCGAGCAGCGAGCGAGCGAGCGAGCGAGCGAGAGAGCGAGCGAGCGAGCGAGCGAGCGAGCGAGCGAGCGAGCGAGCGAGCGAGCGAGCGAGCGAGCGAGGAGCGAGCGAGCGAGCGAGCGAGCGAGCGAGCGAGCGAGCGAGCGAGCGAGCGAGCGAGCGAGCGAGCGAGCGAGCGAGCTAGCGAGCGAGCGAGCGAGCGAGCGAGCGAGCGAGCGAGCGAGCGAGCGAGCGAGCGAGCGAGCGAGAGAGCGAGCGAGCGAGCGAGCGAGCGAGCGAGCGAGCGAGCGAGCGAGCGAGCGAGCGAGCGAGCGAGCGAGCGAGCGAGCGAGCGAGCGAGCAGCGAGCGAGCGAGCGAGCGAGCGAGCGAGCGAGCGAGCGAGCGAGCGAGCGAGCGAGCGAGCGAGCAGCGAGCGAGCGAGCGAGCGAGCGAGCGAGCGAGCGAGCGAGCGAGCGAGCGAGCGAGCGAGCGAGCGAGCGAGCGAGAGCGAGCGAGCGAGCGAGCGAGCGAGCGAGGAGCGAGCGAGCGAGCGAGCGAGCGAGCGAGCGAGCGAGCGAGCGAGCGAGCGAGCGAGCGAGCGAGCGAGCGAGCGAGCGAGCGAGCGAGCGAGCGAGCGAGCGAGCGAGCGAGCGAGCGAGCGAGCGAGCGAGGCGAGCGAGCGAGCGAGCGAGCGAGCGAGCGAGCGAGCGAGCGAGCGAGCGAGCGAGCGAGCGAGCGAGCGAGCGAGCGAGCGAGCGAGCGAGCGAGCGAGCGAGCGAGCGAGCGAGCGAGCGAGCGAGCGAGCGAGCGAGCGAGCGAGCGAGCGAGCGAGCGAGCGAGCGAGCGAGCGAGCGAGCGAGGCGAGCGAGCGAGCGAGCGAGCGAGCGAGGAGCGAGCGAGCGAGCGAGCGAGCGAGCGAGCGAAGCGAGCGAGCGAGGAGCGAGCGAGCGAGCGAGCGAAGCGAGCGAGCGAGCGAGCGAGCGAGCGAGCGAGCGAGCGAGCGAGCGAGCTAGCGAGCGAGCGAGCGAGCGAGCGAGCGAGCGAGCGAGCGAGCGAGCGAGGCGAGCGAGCGAGCGAGCAGCGAGAGCGAGCGAGCGAGCGAGCGAGCGAGCGAGCGAGGAGCGAGCGAGCGAGCGAGAGCGAGCGAGCTGAGAGAGAGAGCGAGGAGCGAGTCTGAGCGAGCGAGCGAGCGAGCAGCGAGCGAGCGATCGTATCTATCTATCTATCTATCTACTCTATCTATCTACTATATATCTACATCTATCTATCTATCTATCTATCTATCTATCTATCTATCTACTATCTATCTATCTATCTATCTATCGATCTACCTACCTAAGCCTCTAAACCGATTAATTTAAAATTAATGGGTATATAGATCTTTACGTGTAGAGTCCTCTGGCTAATCTCTGTTAAAATAGTAAGTGATGTAAAGTCCCACCCTATATTAATCCCAATAGAAATAAGTCTATCATGCCTCTTTTTTGTAATCGTATTATAACTAGGTTCATTTAAAACAATTTGCAACAAATTTCCCCTTAGATTTAAATGTTAATTTATTTTTCAATCGTTTAATTATAATTCATTATTCTATCTCTGATTTCTATTACATTATAAAAAAAAAATTACAATTCAAATTATACGGCGTATTCGTAAAAGCACTCTAAAAGGTATTAATAAATAATAATAAACATTAAAATAAATAAATAAATTGTGTAGGATGTTAAATTACTACACATGTCAGCACAAATGTTGTACAAACATATAAAGTTTAAATATTGGCGGCAAAAATGGTTTGTGTATAATTGTAAAGATATACATACATATGTATTTACAATATTACGTATAGTTCTACGAAACTTTTCTCTATATGTAGTATTTATTTTATTGTTGTCAATATCGCATTTTTACGATAAGAATTACAAGTTTATTTAACTGTTTACGCAAGATAAGCATTTTTTTTTCTAATTTGTAAAAGTGTCTATGTATTTACCGGCATTTTAAAATTAATGAAAAATAACAGTTATAAAGTCGATATCATCTTTAAATTTTGAAATTACAATTATTCTATTTTTAAAGGGATAAGGGAAGTGTAAGTTAACGAAGAAGGTTTGTTTAATGCTATTTAGGGAAATTTTTCTAATACTATCTGTATTTGGTGGACTAAAAAAAAGGTCCTATCTATTATAAACTTTTAGAGGGTAGCAGTACCGAATGCAACTAATACGCTCTCTGGGATACGCTTTACTTTAGAATAGGCTAACCGCTAATGAGTGCTTTACGGAGTTTGTAATTAAATTCAAGAATTAGATAACAAT